TTTTTTTTTTTACACACAAAGAAAACTGGGAAATAGAGAAAGAATGGTGGACTCTAGAGTGAGCACTTGGCACAGTACAATGTAGTGTCGAAGGACTAAGAAACACACACTGCCCTCTGACATCACACACAATGAAGGAAGGCAGTACTATGGTGGACCAGAACAGAGCAGCCTTCAGGATGAACAGAGGGACCAAGGCTAGCTTTCAGCATGCTCCCCCTGAAAGCCTCTGTGATTCTCACTACATCATTTAGGAAGAACCTGTTCAGAGTCCAGGATGGCTTTAAGGAACTACTCATGAGAAAGGCTTCCTGGGTAAGGAGTGTACGTGACATGAAGTGACAGGTCCTGTTTGAGCTGGAGGAGCCCAAATCTCTTGAACTTCTGTCCCAGGAGACGGCAGAGCTGTGTCTCTACTGGCCATGAGCAGGGGACCCACACTTGCATCAGAATCTGAAATCCCTACCTTGTACTTTCTGTTACTCTTCTATGACATTCTACAGTAGCAAATGTTTCCAAGGTTTGTTTGTTTCTTTCTTTTTCTTGTTTCTTAAGAAAACAAACCATTGTTTGAGTTGGATGAACAATGGCAGCCTGCCCTACTCCACCATCAGCTGCCCAGCCCCACTGCAGACTAGCCACACCAGATATCAGTGACAATGGGTCCTGCTAAGACATCAGCAAAGGTCTCTGCTTCAGGAAAGTTGCACTAGTCAGTGACAAAGGGTCATGGCAGATGGTGATAACGGGTCCATGTAGAGGTTAGTTAGGAACAAGTCTGGAGGCCACAAAGGGGAGGCCAGCATAACTGCAAAGGATAAACATGCTATCCTGAAAAAAGATCAAGGGTGGTGTTTTACTTTTCCTTTCCTGTGAAGAGATACCATGACCAAGACAACGTATAAAAGGAAGCATTTACTACCCAATACTAAACTTGCTTCCTGATGGTTTCAGTGGGTTGGACCATGGCTGGTAGGGACCTTGGTGGCAGGCAGGCATGATGAAGGGACAGTAGCTGGGAGCTTACACACTGAGATGACCACAAAGCAGAGAGAGAGAGAGAGAGAGAGAGAGAGAGAGAGAGAGAGAGAGAGAG